TGATGCTGCCACCACCATGTTTCACTGTTGGGATTGTATTGGGCAGATGATGAGCAGTGCCTGGTTTTCTCCACAAATACAGCTTAGAATTAAGGCCAAAAAGTTCAATCTTCGTCTCATCAGACCAGAGAATCCTATTTCTCATAGTCTGGGAGTCCTTCATGTGTTTTTTGGCAAACTCTATGCGGGCTTTCATGTGTCATACACCGAGGAGAGGCTTCCGTCGCGCCACTCTGTCATAAAGCCCCGACTGGTGGAGGGCTGCAGTGATAGTTGACTTTGTGGAACTTTCTCCCATCTCCCCACTGCATCTCTGGAGCTCAGCCACAGTGATCTTTGGGTTCTTCTTTACCTCTCTCACCAAGGCTCTTCTCCCAGGATTGGCTGGACGGCCAGCTCTAGGAAGAGTTCTGGTCGTCCCAAACTTCTTCCATTTAAGGATTATGGAGGCCACTGTGCTCTTAGGATCCTTGAGTGCTGCAGAAATTCTTGTGTAACCTTGGCCAGATCTGTGCCTTTCCACAATTCTGTCTCTGAGCTCCTTGGGCAGTTCCTTCGACCTCATGATTCTCATTTGCTCTGACATACACTGTGAGCTGTAAGGTTTACTGTATATAGACAGGTGTGTGCCTTTTCTAAAAGTCCAATCAGTTTAATTAAACACAGCTGGATTCCAATGAAGGCGTAGAACCATCTCAAGGAGGATCAGAAGAAATGGACAGCATGTGAGTTAAATATGAGTGTCACAGCAAAGGGTCTGAATTCTTATGACCATGTGATATTTCAGTTTTTCTTTTTTAAATAAATTTGCAAAAATGTCTACGTTTGTTTTTTTCTGTCAAGATGGGGTGCTGAGTGTACATTAATGAGAAATAAAATGAACTTTTTTGATTTTAGCAAATGGCTGCAATGAAACAAAGAGTGACAAATTTAAAGGGGTCTGAATACTTTCCGTACCCACTGTATGTGTGCAGTATCTCAGGGCTCTTTGTGGGATCAGTGTTCATTTTGATGTTCAGTGTGATTGTTCTATGTGCGAGCCTTTGTTCCTGTTTTCTGTGTACCTTGTTTTATGTTCCCAGTGAGTTTTGGTTGTTTTGGACATACGTAAACTTCTTTCACCTTTAACAGAATCTCCCTGAATACTGCATTCATGTCCTTCCTTTTTTCAACATTTCCTAAATAACAGGTACAAGACCTTATTCTGAATCTTACTGGAATTCGATTTGGAAAAACAAAGATTTTTTTTTGTATCTAATCAAGCGACGTCTGGCTCATCAAGGCAGCATCAATCAACCTATCATCGTCCTCATCAAACACAATCACTGGGCCACATCTTCACAGCATGACTTCAGGAACCACAGAAGACACAGAAGACAGCATGAGGACTTGTTTAATGGTTCTCAACAAATAGAACATTTATTAAGTTTTCTAGTCAGGTCAAACTGTGCTGCCTGTTTGCTTTGAACTTCATGACAAAAAGCTTGACTGTGTAACGCTTTCATTAGAGGCTAGTAATAGGAGGAACACTTTATATAGAGCTTTACTAAATACTAAGCCCTTAAACACCATTACTTAGTTACAGGTGAAATAGACGTAAAACAATCACAATAAATACAGACAGTCAGATTTGACAAAAATTACAAATAATATAAACTAGGCTGAAGCAGTATGTTATTATCGTATTTTCTTAAAGTATTTGACCTGTCAACCTGTCACCCCCTAAAATTAGGCTCCGAGTTGATCTTTGTATCCCCCACCCCTACCTACCAACTGCTGTCTCACTGGCCTTATTCATGTCCTGCACAAACCTCACATACTTTTCTGCCACTCCAACTTTGTCCATACCTCTGTAGTCAGGCTGTGCAATCAATCAATTTGGCTTTAGTATTATGTAATACACCATTATAACTATGATGATAAATTTGTATGTGTGTGTTAGCATTTTTTTAGTCGTGGCAGTGAGTGTCAGCTGAACAGGCTAAAGGAGAAAGTATGGATCTGTGTGTTCTTATGACACGACCCAGTGTAACACAGGCTGCTGCTGAATTCCACAAAGCAGCAGCAGGATTAAATATATCGACTCCACGTCCATTTACAACTTCTGAATTGGCGTGGGATGATTAGCTTTAGTCAGGGATTGACTGAGCTGTGACGGAGCTGCATCAGTTGTTAGTGTTGTAAAACTGGACCCATTCAGAATATAAAGCAGCAAAGCCACTGCTGCACTCTTCTGTACCACAAACCCTGTTCACTCTGTGAATCATCCACAGAGCCACTACTGTAAAAGATGGAATCACTGAGTAAAACTGAGCATGAAAGTATTCATGCTATTTTCATGCTCAGTTCAGGGGTTAAGTGTTAAGTATTTTTGATGAATGGTTGTGGTAAGAAGCCATGGCCATTTCTGACAACTTTTCGGGGCGCTATTCTCCGCTCTGACCAAAACTCTATGTTCTTCTTCTTTTTCTTTTGGCTTTTTTGTTCTACTAGGTTGTACAGTTAAAATAAACCTTTCACTGTAACTATGTGTAGTTCCTGGTACAATTTAAAAATCTACTTAGTTCTTATGGAAGAAACAAACCACATAACCTGGTATTAGTTCTAATTACAATAAATACAAACAATGTCTATAACTCCATGTGTTGTAAGTTTACTTTTTCCTTCTACTGTCTGTACTTATTTGTATTTGTTCCAATAGTTAAAATATACTTGTAGCTTCAGAATCTTACTAAATTAAATGATTATTTTAAATAAAATAATCTACATTTTGAGTGACAGGAAGCCAGGTCTTTGCAGCTGTTCACAAGGATAGAACACACGTTATCCAAATTAATTTGACAAACTCTGATATTTCACAAATAATGATCAGTATAACATGGTTAGAGAATGAACATCATTGAACATCAAGACAGATAACAATTCACTTTCAATGATACACACAGGTTTTATATGGAGAATAAACAGGATAAATGTTGCTAAGCTAAGCCAAGCTAATGTTAATTCATTTTCCTTTGTCTACTTCAGTTCATTATCTACTTTATTTTATTTATAATAATCAGTTGACATACAGTTTAAAAAAAAAGTTTGGATCTTTTCTATCGTCCAGAGTCACATGGTCCAGTAAGTACGAAGCATAAATAATGAGATTTAATAGTGGAGAGATCCTGTGTAACCACTAGTCAGACATATGTGGATAAATGAAGAAGAAATGCTTCATGATAAATACATTTTATCTGTCCATCCAGTGTTTGATACGTACAAGTAATTTTCCTCTAAACATTATTCACACTATTAATGATGTCACTTTATAAACAGTAGAATCTGGAGGACAGCTCTTAGTTCTTTGCTACATTTTTGTCATGGCTTTCATACCTATTGATTACATTCATTAATCTGCAGTCTACTCTTCAACCACTAGGAGACAATGAAACTTTAAGCTGATGTTTTCTAGTCTTTTTCTCTAACTCATTCTATTCTACCTGTCAGTTCAGACACTGTACAAAAAGGCAGTTTGGCTTAAACCAGCTACAGTGTAGTGACTCTAAATAAAATACACTATACACAAAGCTCCACTAGCTTTATGGTTAGTTTAAATCAGACAGATACAGTGTGTAGCTAGTACATCATGATTAACTGTATCAGTCAATATCAATATAACAAAGCTATGTCAAAATTAACTCTGATACAAAGGTATTAAAAACTGAATGGCTTACATTAAATACAGGTTAAGAATTTACTCTGTTTTCTATTTGTTACAGCACAAATAAATCCTGATTCTATGGCTTAGACAGAGTAAAACACACTGTATGACTTTGCTCCTACAGAGGATTCCATTTTGCTGCGTGACTCTTTGACGACTCACATCAATTCACTACTATGACCTAAAAAGCCCTAAATAAATGTTGTTATTGAAAAGACACGCAGACTATCTCTGTGTTGTCACATCAAGTACTGTGTTTCAAAGAGTTCACTGATGTCGGTTAAGAACACAATATGATAATATTATCACAACGTGATAATAGGCAGAGGTGTCAACTCTCTGGCTGTACTGTGACTTGATAGGAATAACACCACAATGTTCTAATGTAGTTTGACCTAAAACAGACATGTTCTAGTTGTTCTTTTTACATTCAAATTCCTAAACGCCCAGTACCAAAAAGTACAAATCAATAAAGGTTTAACTACATTATTGTTCCTGCATGTCACTGACAATTTATTTAAATCTCAAATTTCTCATTTTGCCTCCATCTAAGAGAAAGGCAGAAATAAATGCTACAAGAATAACTGGGATGGACCCAAAAGTGGTCAGGCAGTTAACACGAAGAACCTGCTCATCATCAGGATGTACGGGCGTAATTTAAAACCAATGGAAATGTTGAAGTGGTGTGACATCCCTGACAAATCTGTAATAATCCTAATCCAGTTAAAATTCAGAGAATTAGAGGAGAAAGAATCACCTGAGTTCATACAACAGTCTGTATGAAATAAGACTAGAAGAATAAACATGGTCTTAAAAGAGCTTTAAATAGATCTATTTCTGTTAATTAGATTAATTCAATATCAAGAGTAAGATAGAGAATTCTGGAAAGATTTTCTCTAATGTTTAACTAAGTAAACTTTATTTACACATAATCTCTAAAAGCCTCCACGGGTGACAGGAAAAACGCTCCCATCCTGTTTGAATTGCCCTCCAGAAATGGCAGACAGAGAAGTGACTCAAATCTCACATTAATAAACATCTCTTCTCAGCCAGACTCCAGCTAGAGCCGTGAAAGTCTCGTATTCAGCCGAGAACTCGTCTGAACCTGATTCTAAGGCTAGATCTCAGACACATCTAGGACAAATATGATGAGTTCTCTGCTGCTCCTCCGGTCTTCATGTCCTTATTCTTCATCTTTTCTCAGAAGATGGACAGAGTGGAAAGAGACAAAGCCAAAAGAGTTCACCACTGGCTCAGTCTGCAGGAGGAAAATCAGCATGATGCTGCAGCTGCAGATGCAGCTGCGGCTGCTGCTGCTGCTCCAAACTCACCATTACTGCTTCACAGCTAATGAGTTTAGCCTAGAGCCAAAAACACCACGTCGTTTAAAAAAACAACAGTTGGTTTAGGCAGGAGATGACCGACCAACAGGCCAATGGTAAGACAACAGAGGAGGTCACAGCAGGTCCTCATAGTCCAGCAGCTTGGAGTGCTGACGACTTTTCCAGAGGCGGAACAGGCGGAAATCAAAGTATGTCTCGATCATCTCTTTGCCTGCAGAAGAAAGAAAAAAATGGCTGTTACACGCAAATGGTAACAAGTTGGTCCTGCCCTGCACACTGGGCAGTGATCTTTTTAGTCACATGAGTCCAAATGCTATATTGGGGGGATATGACTTCAGTTTTTTAGTACATTTTCAATATGTTAAATATTTGCTTAGACTTCTTGTTTTTTAACGTAATTAATAATGAATAAGTGGCGCTTTGCCCACTGAAGGCCAGGAGCAGGATCTGGGTCACAGACGTCGTTGTCAAAACATTAGCTTTTATTTAAACTTGTGACCCTGTAGTGAATTAGTTTGTGTGTATGTGTGTGTATGTGTGTGAGAGAGAGAGAGAGAGAGAGAGAGAGAGAGAGAGAGAAAGAGAGAGAAATAATCTTTCCACTAAGACAAACTCCTCCAGATGATATTTTAAACTGCTCTGAGACCACAGTGTCCCAGGGCAGTTGTAAAACACGTGCTGCGTTATCACATCTGCTTCAGTGGTATGAAGATGAGATTGTCTGAGCAGGGAGTTCTTCACTGGTGAGAATGACCTCATAGACAAAGATCATTTTATGATCTTCAGTGCTCTTTTACAGTGCAAGCAAAAATAAAATACAAGGAAGGCTTCAACCAGTCAGGAAGTAGCTTAGAATCAGTCCAGCAGCCCCACCGTAGCTTTTTCAGTGAGGAATTATTTATGGCAGACGTGCCTTGGTGTAGGAGAACCAAGATTCAGAATAGAACTAGAGCCTGACTGGAGAGATTATCTCTTTTTCTAACTTGTGCTGGGGATGTCCAATAATATCGGCCAACCGATATCGGCGATATCTGTTGTAATAATCAGGGGTTTGTATGTTGGTGCCAGCAGTTCATGCAGTGGTCTGCACATATAAATAAATAAATATTACCGGGCCTATATTGGCATCAAAATCGTAAATTAAGTGTTTGGACAATATTGGCATATCGGATATATATAAAAAAAGGTTGATATCTCTTCTGTGTAAGGTTTGACCTTGTAGTTTTAAGTGTTGTCTTGGTGAGTACATGCAAGGCAACAGCAAAATTACCCAGAACTGTCAGTGTAAGCATTAGCTGTATATTTGTATCTACCTCTGTACAAATGCCAAACAAGGTTCCGTCTGTCAATAAAAACTGTGATTATAATGAAGTTTTAATTGAAAAATAATACATGGACATGTCAGGAAAATGAGTGATGAGACCTGAACGTCATTTCACACCTGAGAATTACCTCACTGTCTCTAACACACTTTAGTTTTTCACTGTCGTTGGTGATTAATGAGCAGAATTAACATTCAGCTGCTGCACCGGTGAGGCCCAAACACTGCCAGGTCAATGCATAGACTGTATGTTGTATAGGTGTGTGTGTGTGTGTGTGTGGCTCCTCACCTTGTGCAGAGAGTTCCAGCGGAGACTTGAATTCCACTGACGAAGGTCTCATCAGCCTCTTCAGAGTCTCTATCAGCTGCACAAAGAGAAAGGGAAAAAGAAAAGTTATTGTGAGGAAGAAAAAAAAAATTTTAAAAAATTTGCTGATGATTTAATTTTGCCTGCGGCACTGAGATATAATGCAGGAAAGCATGGTTCTATCCTAAGACTATTTTAATTGAACGATGCAACTGCAGTGCTGACGTCTCTGACAACTGAATGTGATGAGATCACTGCGGTTCTGGTCTCCTTCACCAGCAGGTTCTCCAATTAGACTACGGTTCTGCTCATAATCCTGGTTCTTCTAAGGAACTGGGTCTGCAGGTTTGACTTTCTTATATAAACTAAAGCTTAGTACACACATGTCAAACTCAGGCCCGGGGCTCAAATCTGGTCTGCAGTGTAATTATATTTGGCCCGCAAGATCAACAACATATACCAAAGTATATAGCCCCTAAATACTGGCAGGATTTGTAGTATTAGCAGTGTATGTTATATCACATACTTTCAGTTTGGTTTTTTTTATTGTTGGCCTGTAAAATAAGATTTACATTAAAAAGGAACTGAAAAGGCTACAGATAAAGAGACATAATAAGAAACAAATACCACTGATGTGTGTGTTTTTTTTTTTTGTTCAATTTTAATGTGCTTATAATATTAAGTTCTGGTTGTTCCAGATTCAATGTTTACACAAAACTAAAGATATAATATATGATATAACATATGAATAAATATTAAGTTTGGCCCACGACTTCGTCCCAGTTTTTAATTTTGGCCCTCTGTGAATTTGACTTTGACACCGCTGGCTTAGTGGATAAAAATCCTCAACAAACATTTGATTTCTTCATAAATTCTCTGGATGTTTCTTAGGGTCGTCTCCGTGCAATCCTCTACAAACCAATATCAGTATTTGTATTTGTGTACTTGCTGATCCCAGTTGTTACTTCTTTTTTGTATCAGTTGTTTTTAAGACATCGGCCTTATTCTATCGGATCAATGTCTACAGTAGTACAAATACATTTCTTACCAAATAAATTATACAACTCTCTGTAGTGTTTTGAAAGTGTAATTGTTTTCCAGCTCCTTCAGCCTTTGAAGAATGTGTTCTACAAAGATGTGTCAGTGTCCTGATTCTCAACATCCACAACATTTAAAGCAGACTTGAGAGGTTTCATAACAGCAGCGCCAACATCACAGCCTCCATATAAAAATAACTTCAGAGAACCAAACAGATGCTGAGCTGCTCTTTGCTGCATTTAAAATGCCTTTTAAACTCACCATGACTTGGAATAGTGTATAATATGTCACTCACTGGGTTAGGCTTTAGTTAATGTGGTTTGGGGTTTTTTAGAATTTAGTTTCTTCATTTCTTGTTTTTTAATTTTGAACTACTCCTGGTCTTCAACTACTTTCATTAATCAAATTAGTTTAAAAAAAAGTTTATTTTCACCTAATTGTGAACAGAAAATTCTGGTCATGTGTCAACACTTGATCATAGATCATTATAACTGGAGCAGGATGAAGGTTAGAGCTATATACATATGTACAGTGGGGATCGAAACTTTGTATATATATATAACTATATACTGTATCTATATAGATGCACAGTATATAC